TCTCTCTCTCTCTCTCTCTCTCTCTCTCTCTCTTTTTCTTAGGTGCATGTTCCCAGCTGCTTTCCTCAGCCACAAACTTCCACCATGATGTTCTGCCTCAGAGTAATGGGAGTCATCTATGAACTGAGACCATGAGTACCAAAATAAACTTTTCTTCTTCTAGTTGTTATTGTCAGGTCTTTTGGGTACATTGATGAAAAAGACAACTAAAATTAGATAATTTATGAAAAACAGAAGTTTATTCAGCTCATGGTTCTGGAAACTGGGAAGTCTAAGGGCAGGATACCTGCATCTAGTGAGGGCTTTTGTACCATAGCAGAGAGGGTATCATGTGGTGAGAATGCAGGTGGAAGATCTGACCTTTATAAAAAAGCCACTCATATGAGAACCATCCTAACTCATCAATGAGCACTCATCTTCATGAACCAAAACACCCAATGGGCCCCAATTCCCAACACCACCACCTTGGAGATCATGCTTTTGACAAATGAACTTGTGGGTGATCTTCAAACCATAGCAACTGCCAAATTTAATTTCTAAGTACATGTTTTCAAAAGCTACTTATTATCTTTTCTATAATGGGAACATGTTGCAACACTGAAATTTTGACAAATACTTAGAAAAAGGTAGATGTTAACATTTCTTTTTAAATTACTACTGTGAAAAATTTACCAAATTTTCCTATTTCTTCCTTCCATAGCAGACTGGAGAGTGAACTATAGATTTCATCCTTGGAAAAGTATTCTTCAAAATAATCCACTAGGAAATATCACAGGAATTAAAAATACTAATAACCTGCCAATATAAGAAAAATTTACTGAACGATTTTAGAGATAAAAACAGAATTTTCCATCCTGTTATCACAAATTCTACTTTTGCTGAAGATTTTAACTTACGCTTGTATGTCCCGTGTGCCTTAGAAGAAGTGGGCCCATGAGCAGTTACAAAGCTATGTCTTAGGACTGAAGAAGTAACTAGGTAGTAGGTATCTCATCTGGCATGTGACAGGATCAAAGTTCAATTAATAAAAATTAAAAGTTAACTCCTATTAAGATCAAGCCATTTAGTAATTCTAGCTGCCTGGATTCAGTTTGTAATGTTTAAGAAATGGTCTTTTGACCTGAATCTGTTCAATAAGACATTATGAATAGTTCACTATAGAGGTCCTTTCTTTTTCAAGGAGAGAATTGAATAACTTGACTCATTTTTTCTTTCTTTGGAAATGAATATTGAAGCCTAAAGTCCAGAATTTTCCTGGCACTCACTCAGTGGAACCAGTAACAAGGTAGAGTGAGACTCTGGATGTCAGGGCAGACAGATGAAAATTATTTTTATCATATGATGAAGTCATTGAGTTATTGGTTCAATCAACCCCCAAACTCACCCAACACCTATACTTCTTGTTATTTGTTCAAATATATGTACCAATGTGCTTTCTATTCCATGTAGCAGATGTTACCTGAAACAATAAAGAATTGATACTACATTTTAAGCATCTGAATTCAAATCAGATAGTCAGAAGGATAGTGAATAGAATTGAGACACTCTCTGGTCATGTATCCTAGACTGGAGAAGCTATATGATTTTTTCAGTAAAAAATGAAATCAAAGATCCTTCTTCAGAAACAATAATTATGTTTGCACAGAATGACTTTTGGACATGGGAACCTGTATGGCAGCAGGCCTCATGTCCATGAAGACTACACTGGTCCTAAAGGAAGTCCTCTAAACTCATGCCTCCTGTTCTTTACTTACTAATTGACAGCATATTTAATACTTTCTATTTTAGTGATTTGGTGAACATTCTATAAGTCATAATTATGTATAAATATAGGCTAGTTAGGAATAATGATATTTAAATTCATTTGTGTGTGACTGTGTTTATCTATATTGATGAATATTGTCCTTTCTATCAGTGATGCACTTATTAGTATTTCAGAATGTTTTTTAGCTATAATTTAATATCCTTTCCTCTGCTTGGGTAGAAAAGTTTCTTGTTGACATGATTTTTTAAATGTCAAGTGTAATAGCTGCAGGGTTGCACTCTTACATTGTTAAATTATCTACAGAAATGAATGAATAGACTTTTTAGTGGAATTGCAATAGGCCCAACTATTTTTATACCTCCTATCCTCTACTCATCTAGTAAAATGAGTAATTTTAAACTATTTCAGATTATATATTTCTTTGAGAAGATGAAAGCTAAATAATTTTCCAAGAAAATTATATTTAAGCTTAGCTGCAAAAATTTTTCTGATGTTCAATATTAATTTGAAGCCCACTCAGAGAATTTCTCATTGGTCTACAGAATGCAGATGGAAAGTCCCTGCATCTTTGAAAATAACAATTTTTTTAAACAGAAATTTGATATAAATTTCTGGCTAACAATCTTTGACTGGTTAACAGTTACCATATAGTATAAATTCAAGTTACTTAAACAAAACCATCTCACCCTGCTCAGCTCTTTTCTGGATTAACACATCAACAGTATTGAGCTCTTACAGTTTATTCATGGGCCATGTTGTTTCCCACTTCTAAAGCTCTGATTCTCAGCTTTCTTCAATGTAGAGCAACTTTCAGGGGTGGGAGAGAGGCTGAGAAAACAAAAGAGTGAACTTTGGCTACAGTCCCTGAGATTCTGATATAATTGATCTGTGTGTGTTACAAGTAATATTAATTTTTTGAACTCTTCCTAATAGCACTGTCTGGGTATAGAAGCACGTGAGTTGTCAAGTAAACTGATTTAAAAAAAATACTATAGATCACATGTAAGTAGGTGGGCTATGTTTCCTGAAAATCAGGTGAATTAATAGGGTTATTCAAATAAAGAGGAAGAGAAAATCAGGAAGAAACTTTCCCAAGAGGTAAATGTAAGAATTAGATTCCCTGAAGGGGACAAAGCAGACCCAACAAGACATCAATCATGGTACCACACCCTGTTCTGCCCCAAAACCTGCACCAGGCTTCAACCTCAGAAATAAACATTTGTCAAAATATTAATTTACTATGAAATAATAGGAATGATCCTGCCCAATGTTTTGTGTAGTTCTGTTTGGTTAGGGGCATGAATATTTACTTGTTTGGATCTTTTACAAGTTACAAAATAATATATAAGATTTACTATTTAACAAAACACACAAGCTTTTTAGTCTTTTTGTGACCAAAAGAATAACCTCATCCTATACTTCTTATGTTCTTAAAGATACAAGTAAATCATTAGTACACAAGGGATCATTTGAAAGTAAATAATAAATTATGGCACCTTTGCATCACATAATAGCACAAATAACCACTATCAAGGAACTCAGCTGGGTTTTCTTCACATCCCATATTACACAACTTATTTTTTCTATGCATGTTTCATTGTTAACATTCAACACTCAAATGTTAAATAAACATTTGCCTTAGATAGTAAGATTCTTATGGGGAATGCTGAGTATTTTTAATTCAGAGTGGTTTGAGTATGATCATTTTCACACATTCAGCTAAATTCTTTTTGTTTCTTTATCAGCTAAAGAAAAAAATAAAAACCATTTTACCATAAGGTGTGCTGAAAGAAGTGGAAATACCGTACCAAACTTACTATTAATATATAGTAAGATGATGGATAACAGATCATCAGCATCATTCTAAAGAATTAGAAAAGTAGTAACTGGAAGATATAAGGAAGCAGACTCTCTGAACCCATACGAACCTGAACAGAATTATTAGGTGCTATTTCCTCCTGAATGTACAGTAAAAAGCCATAAGGCTTGCACCTGTCACCACTATGATGAGATTAGTTACTCTGCTTGGTGTAAGATTTAAGTGTGGTGCTGAATGCTGTTTCGCACCAGACAATCAGAATACATTGCCTAGGAAAAGAATATGAAGTCTCCATTGCCCCCCACCCTCCACCCGCCCCCAAGGATTTGGGTCCCTGTATTTTCTTTTTAGAAAGATTTTTTTTTTAACATGAATCTCTAGGAACTCTGATACGTTTCATTGTACATAGATGTTTTACACAAATTACAGGCGGCTTTGATCCTTTAAGATACAGCAATGTAAGACATTCATTTTCTTAAAGAAATTCTAGGCCTCGAAATGGAATTTAGTAACAGGATCCTACTTGGGACCTCACACCACCAGAGCTGTCAGGCTCTTCCTTCTCTATGATTGGGATGCATGTAATAACAAAATGACATAAGAACACAAGAACACCTTACCTTGTAAAAGACAATTTTAACTATTTCAAACCTGGATAACTCTCAATAATTGCTGTTGTAATGCTAGCTATTTTAGTTTTTTCAAGAGACATCTTCCACACATGCCTTCTCCTCAGTAAAGAAGATGAGGTAATTCCATGGATTCACTACTATTGTTAGATAAGTTTTGGCTTCACAAACCCTGATTGATATCAGGTGCAATACCTAGGTAGAAGGAGGATATGATGTAATTACTCTTCTCCAATAATGACCTTATGGTTGGAAAATAGCTAAATTGAGGGCAAAATTAGTACCTAAAATATCACCACAATGATAGGTCATTCCCATTACTGATCAGAAAAAATGACCAGAAAGGTTCAAGATTATACTAAGACCTGCTACATCTCAGTGATCTTAAGGAATACAATTAACAGAAAATTAACAGAATTGAAGAGTTTTGAGGAACAGTATCTATTGTCAGATCTACTCAAATGCACACAGTTTACAAAAAGAAATTCTTCAAGTGAGGATTATCTACCAGGAGCACCTGTATTATTCCCTGACTGGAAAAGTTATTATTATGATTTCATCTAATATTACTCCAATTCCTCACTACTGATGTAAGAAATATTAGAGAATGGCTGCTCTAAGACTCATTGTAGAGTTTGTAGCAAATACAGCCAGAAACAGTTGTGATAAATTTCATTTCCTGATGCAAAGCTGGAAGAAAATGTCTTTAGCAATAACATCTCCAATAAAAAGATGCAATGTGAAATCTGCATACGTAGTCTGGTTCTGGCATCTGGATTTGGAATATACAAACGGTGACACTCGCTGATTTATTCATCATCCAATCATGTACTCATTGCACATGCTTCACATCATTCCCTTGCAGAGGTGATCACATGGCTTCTTTACCATAATGACATTGAAAGAAGAAGCAACCTCTGAGTTTCTTAAAAGATACCGGCTTTATGCAGTTTCACTCTTCTACTGGTTCCCTGAAGATGGCACCCCTTAAAATGAGCTCATAATGTACTTCTTGATTTCAGAGCAGACCAGGCTTCTCTAATGGATTATCTCCCCCTTATCCAGACTCTTTTCTGTCCCCTTTGTAAGGAAATTCCAGCCAGCTGGAACAGCAGGGCAACAAGTACAGCTGGGAATTTCTAGCCCACAGGTGTCCATTCTCGCATTTGATAGCTTGCCAATATCAAAGCTGGATTTGTTGAGGGGATCCCCACAGTTGTTTCACAGAAAGAAAATTATCCACTGGCACTAATAGTAATAATCCCCTCCTCCATATCTGACTTAGTACTTGAGTTAGAGCCACAGCCCACTTTTCTTACCCGGATTGAACCAGTATCAAGTTCTCCAGCCTTTTCACAAGTGGGTGGCAGACTGTCAGGCAGGAATTAGATGAGTACAGGTGGCACCACCTGCTTGAAATGCTTTTGAGTATTTTCTGTTTCATTATTGCTGCATCTAGTGCACCATTCTTTCTTTTCTTGCCAAAAACCATGGGACCATTTGTTTGAGCTTAAAGTCTGTTGCACACTATGATTTTGGATAGAAAGAACATAAAAGGGATTTTTTTTTTTTGTCCATTCAGAATATGGAACAAGCCCAAGAAAAAGTAATTATTTTGTTGTATAAAATGTAATACAAGATAATCTAATTAGGAGGAATATAGGTCAACTAGTAGATAGATGAAAAGAGATATTATGGATGATTCTTCAGGAGCTTATCACTTTTGATTGCTGCTTTGACTGATAAAAAATATTCAGTAATCAGTGTATTCCTAAATAATATATATGGATGCAAAATTCAAATGCAAACATCTATAAACTAATAAAGATGAATTCCTAATACATCTATTTTATTTTAATATGCAAATTATACATTGTTCTTTCAGATTAATAATCATATTTTTATATCTAATCTAAGCATAAACAGATGCATTCAATGGGATTTTTCTGGATTTGTTGGAATACAATTTCACTGTACTATCATTTCTTCTTCTTCTCTTAATCTCTGTTTGACTTCCCTTCTTAGACTCCTTTATATGTGAGATGTGATAAGTTTCTCGTGTGAATAAATTAAAAGAACTGCCAATTTTCTTAAATTGTTGTTGTTGATTCTGTGCTTTATCCAGAAAGAACTGAACTGAAGGGAAAATATTATTCATATTGAAGCTTTCCTATTTGAGTCCTATAAGATAGGAAATTCATAAACTGTTATCACTTTTATCACACTGTATGATCATTTTCTTTCATTGTTTTGCATTTTTAAATTGTAATTGAACACAATACCTTTATTTATTTTTTTATTTTTTATGTGGTGCTGAGGATCAAACCTAGGGCCTCACACATGCTAGGTGAGCATTCTACCACTAAGCCACAACCCCAGCCCTCGTTTTTTTATTCACTATACAACTTGAGTGCAAGAGTAGATGACAAAGAAAGTATTTTCAACCAAGGAGCAAATGATGAGTCAGACTTTAGTGTGAGTTTAAACTATCAATAACTTCAACAAGTGAGGTCAAGCTTCCTGAAATTCATGTACAAAGGTTCAAAGAGGCTGTGAAGGGCAAATGCCAACCCATTGCATCCAAAATGTCCTAACTGAATCTCAGCACAGGTCACCCAAACTATTGCTTAAGAATTTTTTGTTGTTGTTTTCTTAATCATCCACAGTCCTGACATGAAATACAACTAGTTTAAATAACATAATTGAGGGAAATTTAATAAAGGGGTTATTTATTAATGTGCTACGGGGGATAAAGAAACTAATAAAGGTACAGTTTGGGGGACAGGATATGAAAAGACAACAAAAGGAATTACTGGAACCCCCCAAAACAGGTGTAAAATAGGAGGGGCTAGAGAGAGAGAAATGGATCTCCCGTCAACAAAGAGAGGGAAAGAGGAAGCACTACTCACTATCTGCCTCCCACCCACCCAGTCTCCGTCTATGGGTTCCTGTGAGCCTAACCCAGCTACAAGCCATTGGTAAAGGAGTCCTGTGTTGAGGACCAAAGAGCTTAGCCTCCCTTAGGAAAAAGCAATGGAGATCTGGAAGACAGAAATTGAAATATCCAGCACACTGTGGAATTGAGCCCTTTAAAATCCATGATTTTTCTTTCTGGATATGATACTGCAATATCAGTTTACATTTAATTTATCTTATTCTTCTTATAAAATTGTGAGAAGATGAGAACAAAAGAAAATAACATCAAGACAAAAGCAAAGAAAGAATGAAGAGTGGTAAGGCAGGAGGGAAGAAGAAAGGGGGCCATAAAAAAAAGCATTTCACTACAATCCTTACTTTTATGTCTGGTCACAAGGCCCAAACTGCTACCTACAGCTTTTAATAACTTTAGTTTACCAGCATCATGCCTGACTATTGTACTTCCCTTGTTTTAGTAAGACCAAATAATTCAAAACCTTCATTCTTCTGGTATCTGGGTCCTTGGTGGCCCTCTTTGACTTGGTGTAGCTTCTGCTTATCAGAAGGTATTAAACAAGAGAGTACTAAATGGTGCCTTAATAAATCCCCCGGGTTTTGCTCCTCTTTGCCTCCATTGCATAGCTCAAGCCCTATATCCCCACTGATAACTGGATCACTCTCCAAGACCTTACAGGAATCCTCTTAGCCCTTCAGTGAAGCATTATCCGTACAATGGCCAAAGGGTATCCCCACCTTCTTATCCATTGATGGAATCCTCTGCCAGGATGACTCCTCTCTTGAGTAGGGAGCTTAAAACACACAAAGTACAAGATGACAAGGAAAATAAGCAAAATCATTTTTCACTGAGTGATTTAGTGAAATAGTGAGGGGGTTACTTCCATGACTACTTATTGGTTCCAGGAACAAATGCTGAATATGAAGTACAGCGCTCTCTCTCTCTCTCTCTCTCTCTCTCTCTCTCTCTCTCTCACACACACACACACACACACACACACACACACACACCAAAGGTCTCCAACACAGAGCATATTCAATGAGAAGATGCTCTACCTCTCAGTATTTTCACCCACCTGGTACCATAGTTGAACCTTCTACAAACTATTTATTCTATCAAAGCTATGGCTACGAATGATGAAAGACCATTTCCCCCGAGCTTCATGAAGATTCCAGATTATTTGTGGGGAGCCCATTGTTGCATTTCCTCTTTCATGAAATGAATCTTCTCATCAGAATTAATGCTGTATGGAACATCATAGATATCAGTTGGGCATTCTTAATACCCTTGAATCTTCATGCAAACAAAAGTGCAACTTCAACAGGAAAAAGGGAATTTTCAGAAAATGTGCTGTGGATGGTACATACAAAAAAATGGAATACTATTCAGTCATGAAAATAATGAAATTCTTTCGCTTGCAATAACAAGGATAAAACTGAAGATCATTATGGAAAGTAAATAAACCAGGCAAAGAAAGACAAGTACTGTGTGATTTCAATCCTATGTGGAATATGAAAAAGTTGATGTCATAGAAGTGGAGTGTACCAAGTGACTATCAAGCTGGAGAGGGTAAGAAGGGAGAGAGAGATGGCTAAAGGTAAATCAATGGGTACTTAGTTACTCTTAGATAGCAGCAGGAAGTTCTGCTATACTGTTGCACAGTAGGATGACTAATGATGTAGTGTGTATTTCAAAATCATTCCTAAATGGCTTCAATTCTTGTTTCCATGAGACCTTTGTGCATAAGCCTATTGTCTATCGTCTAGGCAAATTAGCTGACTGACATCCCCATGATAGGTCACCTTGTCCACCTGCTTACTGAGCGCCTCCTTCCAGCCCATCTCTCTGGTAGCATTTAGTGAGACATTGCCATCACACTGTGTCCACCTTACAAGGTCCAGTCTCATAAATTTCACCCAGATCTTAGTCATCACTCTTTTTTATTTTATCATCAATTCAATTTCTTTGCCACTGAAACTCATTAAAAGTCTGAACTTCAGGCCATCTTTCTTTTCACATTAAGTAAGTAAACAGAAATGTCTCAAGTTCTTTCCACTAGAAATAGTTTGCTTCATCACTATCTTTCAAGGATACCTCTGAGTGACATGGTAATGCTTTTATATGTCAGTTCTATTCTAGGTCCTGGGGGGAAAAGTAATGAACAAAAGCCACAGAACTGCTGCCTGTGTAGAGCTAATACTCCAGGGCAAAAATTTCCAAGATAGTACCAATGGTTTCTCAGTAACCATTGCACCCGTGGGGCAAAAGAACTGCCAAACAGTTTTATCTGTTAAGTACTTTTTGTCTATAAACTTATTTGTGTCCTAATAAGTTAGTTAAGACAGTACTACATAGACATTGGAAAAAGCTTTATTTTCCTTAATTTTTTAAATAACAAAATTAATTACTAATGTAAAATGTATAGCTGATAGCATTGTTGAAGTTCTCAAAATTTAGAGTTACAGTTGAAGCCACCATATTTGTTATCTTTCTATATTTGTGTTATATGCTTCTTATATGCATATAAAATAGATTCTATATTCCAAACTATTCCATATTTGTTTCTGAAAATAATGAGTTTTTTTAAATCACAGTCACCACCACCCAAATCCCAACTTTGTAATGACATGATTCCATAAAAATGTGTGAGATATGACTTTAAAATAAATCTTTGAAAGAAGCTTTTTAGTTTGAATCCATCCCATTTATTGATTCTTGATTTTAATTCTTGTGCTATAGGAGTCTTATTACAGAAGTCAGTGCGTAATTCAACATGATGGAGATTTGGGGCTACTGTTTTCTTCTATTAGACACAGTGC